CCGTACATTCACACTGACACATCTGTCGCCAGAGCTGCGTCAGCATCGACGAACTCGCTAATTCTTGGGCTTTCCCCGCAGGTGGCTGTTGCGCACGCAAGAGGAATCCAGAAAAAAATAAAACTAATGACGAGTGTACGCCGTTTGCAGATGCGGATGTTGGAGAGGCTGATCAGACTGGTGCCTGGAGTGAGTCTGCAGATGTCCGTTCGGGAACTGGGCGCATTGGACTGGCCGATAAAACGGCCTCGCCCTTACCGAAGGCGACTCTTCGATGCAGCACTGGCGCCAATGGCACCGAGGGTGCGCAAGATGTGCCCGTCGTTCAAAGAAGTGCATGATTACTTCAAGGAACTGAAGTCCTCTGTAAGCGCTTCCTTCCTATTCTTATCCTTTGACAGTTCAGCAGTTTGCTCAGTTTTTGTTTGCGGCACCCGTTAAACTAGGCGGGGCTGTTAAGTAAGAAGTGGTGGGGGAAAGACAGTCAAAGAGTTCTTTTTCCAGTACTCAGAATGGGAACTTGCACTGGTGGCACATATTCGAGGAATCATCAAGAAAGAGGGCTATCAAGTGATGGGCATATGCCATAGACTCGCGACAAAACAACGAACAGAATGGTTGACGAGAAACCAGTAAGCTTTTTTTGGCTCTTTTATTCATCTTCTGACGTATTCCTCTTGAACAGAGTTTCTTCAAATTCAGGTTACGCTTGAAAGGTCTCGAATTCCGAGATTATGGAAACCGAATTATACGGAAAGTATTCGAAGACACTCCACTTCAGCCACTTAATGACACTATATTTGTTGCTACAAACTGTCAACTTTTCGGCAAGGATATCAATGCCCTGAGAGCAATGATCACGGAGTGCGAGAAGATCGACTGGCTAATGCCGATTGGTAACTTTTCGAATGATTATGCTTCTTTTTCACTGACTTTTTTGGCTAGAAATGGCTGCTTTACCCTAAAATTAAACTTTGCTTCTATGGATTTGAGGATCGTGGCTTGAAAAGTGTTCCTAAATTTTAGCTGTTGTATACGGAAGCCGGATATTATCAATATCAGAAGTCAAGGAGCTGTGCAAATTACCGTCCTTTGAGGATCATCGTGCACAAACAGTACAGCTGTTATCGAGGCCATCAATGGACCTCATCTCAACAATAAGTTATCATACGCATGATCTAATCAGGACATTGGAAATGGTGGGAAAACAGAAAACATCAACGTAGTATGAAAATGAGTGATATCTTGCCGAATTCACTGATCACTTACACAAAACAGTGCACTGCCTCCCAAAGTCTACAGTTTTTGCTAACTGTACATTTCTGGCGCCTTGATATCGGTTGGTACCTCATCGAGTGAAGCGAACTTTGTGAAAGTTGTCAGTGAAGTAGATCTCTATGGATTTACACTCCACAGAGTTGCAGAGATGCGACAAGCTCACTAACTGGGCAAAATAAAAATTACGCTGTTACTGTGAAATTTCAGATGAAAGCGCATAATCGTTCATAATTGTAAGGACTTCCGGCGCTCAGAAACCTCAGCTCCTTCTTTGCCCGCTCCGTTCGCCCTGAAAATAATGCTCATATGCTGTGAATGTTCAAGCTGGATGTGGGTATTATTCCTGGGTAAAAGTACCATTCCTTAGTTGCCTCAAAACCCACGTGCTTACAAAATCTTCGAACGCAAGAACTTGCCTGTCTGAGAAGCAATCCAGTTTCTTTCCAAGTAATATTCGTAAAGTGTATCCATTTCATCGGCTGTGTACAGTGATGTTTCAATCGGTATGAAAGGCTCAATGTTCTCTACGTGCTGAAATAAAACTGTTTAGTGGTTAAGTGGCAGAGCAGCAGATATTCTTTGGCACAAAGGATGAAATAATACGACGCACGAGAACTCTTCAGCCGTTACCTACAACTGATAAATTCAAGTTATCCAGGAGAGACATGTTTATGAGCAGTGCCGGTTACCCAGAACAGCGCATGCTCATCGTTCCTTCCTTCTCGGAGGCGAGCAAGAACCTAATCAAGATGAAACTGGAGAAGAGTGGCCCCTACAAATGAAGTACACTGCCTGCTCATGTGTCGCAAATTCCTCATCCAGTGGTACCAGTAAGGGAAAATAAGAAACTGTTCTTTGGAAAACTGGGTAATTTTCGCAAGCTGACCCCATTTACAAGGAGTACCATGCAAACTTACTTCTCCGAACAGTTCCAGTGGCGTTTCAAGTGGTACAGTAAGATGGTCACGTGCATCGCTGACTTCTCGTTTATCGGCAACCAATAAACAGGCACCATTTGTCTGAAAGGCTAAAACTCGTCAAATTTGAGCCGCAAATCTCCGCTAGAATTAAAACAAGCTCAATCGCAAACTTTCAGTAAAAATATTGACCATTCCACCACAGTAACCTTGGGACTCATCAGAAAGTGCCGTCATAGTATGCAGCAACAGCATCGGTTGCGCCGCACCTCTGTAGATCCGTATATAATTTAAAGCGTGCTGCATACTGTCGGAAGCTTAATTAAAAATGAAATGAGGCCTCAAAAGGAGTATTTACTCTACATGACTTAGTGGTAATTCTG